TGGTGCCTGGTCAGGACGCTACAAAGAGCGCGGGCATCGCAAAGTCGGATAGCAAACAGACTGACAATGGGGAAGCGACGGGCTCTACGGGGCAAAAATCTTCGTCGAACAGCCTGCTCAAGGCGATCCCGGGTACGAGCTCGAACAAGATGGATAAGCGTATCCTGGCTGAGCAGAATTCCCTCTTGAAAGCGTTGGAGAGGAAAAGGGAGCTGGGCATATTGAGCGAAAGTGAAAAGCTCAAACTGGCTCAGATTGTTGCTGTAAGGGAAAGCAGTCGAAGGCGGGGGCTAGCGGATGCGAAGGAGGATTGTACAGTGGCGTAGAGGTTTGTTCGGCATTGCGACCTTTGGACCCCTGCGCGCACCATGCAAGGTGGGCCCCGTCTGTACTTTTTCCATCTTTTGCATGCTCAATTGGGTCTGGAGCTAAGGCTGCTTGGCCATGCTTCGGAATGGAAAGGTTAGAAAATTCATGCACGCCCTTCCGCATCCTAATCTTGATGCTCAGAAGGCCTATCAACGCTACTCGAGGGAAGAAGGTGCGACGACGACTTACGACGCTGTCAGAAGTCATGTTGGAGTCGCATCGACGAGATCGAGCTTCGGAGGACTTGCCATCTAGTGGAGCGCGCGCGCTGAACGCGCGCAGCGATTCGGACGGGATCCGGTAAACTTTTGTCCCTTTCGTCACGCTATGTAGCGCGTCGCAGTACTCCAAGGCTGTCCGACTCAAAAGGCTCGCTCAGCCTTGATTGGACTTCGAATCGTGAATCGTGCGCAGCCTTGCAAGGTGAAACGCAGCTTCGGATGCCAACACAATCGGTATTGTAGGATGGGAAATGCAGGTTTCTCTGCTTTGTGAGAAAGCTCAGATCATGGGACGCGTGAGGATATGCATGAGTCTAGGATGCTCAATGGCAAAGGGAATCCTCGGAAATTTTACGCTTCGTTGGGCTGAGCCGTGTGCATTGTAGCGCCTTCGTTCGCAACATCGCTCGAGCCTGCTGTCGCGCTTCTGTCTTGCGTCTCGTTCTGGCCCGCTAAACCAGGGGTAGGTCGATGCTGTGCGTCTGGAGAATTAGCAGGTCCAGTTGCCCCGCTCGGCTGATCCGGTCTCGAGGCTGCAGCAACGACATCTCGCAGGACATTTTCGGCATTCCCGTTCGTGCCAGGAGGAGCGCGAGAGGCATCCGTCTCTTCACGTTCCTCTACCAAGGGTTTCTGACAGACCGGACACCTCCCACTGACGCTGGACAGCCACTCGTCCACGCACGCCCGGTGAAGAGCGTGTCCGCAAGGCATGAGTCGGAGCACTTCCGCCTCTGCTTGGCACGACGCATCTGCTGAAGGCGGAGCCTCAGCGTGCGCAGAACGACCCGCAGCAGCAGACGCCTCGACGTCCTCGCCATGCATGCCTTCGCCTCCTGCTTGAGCTTCCGCGCTTTCGAGCGGTCGAGAGCTGCTTCGCCAATTCCATGCGCTCCGTCGCTTCCTGCTAGCGTCTCCTTTTGCCTTTGTGCTGGCGGGCGTGGTGACAGGTTTGCTCAGATCCGAGGCTGCAGCTCTCGCTTCGCTGGAAAATTGTTCCGGCGTCACAAAGTCTAGGAGACAGATTGGACACGTCGCGCGATGAGCAGGTATCTGAAGGCGCGGAGAAGAGGATAAGTTTATGTCAGCAAGGCAGGCATTGCTGAAAGAGTGCCCCGCACAAGGTCAACTCACCGGGTGAAGAGGATATCTCCACTTCTGCTTCCCACCATGTGAGGCTTGCGCATCGCTCTGCGCGGGCTGCGTTTGCTCTTCGGTGCTCGTCGTGACCACAGCCGCGTTGGCTGTACCCCGCCCACTCTTTCTGCGGGTGAACAATCTCGCTAGACCGCCGGAGCGATGCTGCGAGGTACGCGGTGCATCGTCAACTTCGTCAACTGACGGAGTTTCTACTTTGGTAGGGCTGTCACTTTGATCAAGCTTGGCGCGAGGACCTATGTATGCTGCGTCTGCCACCGGTCCTTCTTCACTTGTACGTGCCTCTTCCTCGGCAGGAACAAAGTAGACCAACGTCGAAGACTTTTCTATCACCGCTTGATCTATCTTGGATGTAGTTGGGTGGATGCCTGCTCTCGGGAACCTATCCGTCAGACCAAACGCTCGTAAGATTGCCAGCACAATCGGCAAGAAGAACACGACCAGCTGATTTGTGTGGCGTAAGATGGCCAGGACGTGAGCCCATGGGAATGCCGAACAGCGAGTCGATGCACTCACAGAGATGAGCAAAGCGACTTCAAGAATGATGATGTAAGTGATGCTCAGAAAAGTGAGGCTGGACCACCAGAGCACCACGCTGTCTGCCGGCCTGTGAGAGCATTCCAAGCTCGTCCAGACCGCATAATTACCATACAACCAGATCCCAATGTGCGACAATCCCAACAGGTCTGACAATCTGCTCGCTTTGGCATCCAGGGCCAAGTTGCCAAATGTCCTGTTTGCCTCTCTTTGAGCGCGAGCTTCTGCAGATCGGTTGCGCCGCGCTGCTGGGGTCCGGTGGGGCGAAAGTCCGAGGTAGAGATCGATAGGAATGCAGAACAGCACCCTGAACGTGTGCAGCAGCAGGAATACGTACATCCTGCGCGAACAAGGGGGCATGAGCACCTCAGAAATGCTTCTTACGAAATCAATCATCTTACTCACGACTCTGGATCGCACAATGACCCCGGCGCTCTCAACGAATCCCCAAGGGAGTCGGGCAAGCATGCTACGACTATGCCGAGTATGACCTGCGCACGTCAAGAGAGAATGCGTATGAGACATGGCATCAAACGGGCAGCATTCTCCAGTCTCGCACGATCGCACATATCGCCTCCCACTGACTGATAACCTCTGCTACTCACCTGACAAAGCGAGAGCAAGAATTGCAGGACCAGCAAAATCCTCTTTCCCTTTCCGAGCTGGACATACGTACTCAAAGAAGCTCTCAGCATATTTCGCCGGACCATCATCGCTTCGTTTGCGCTACTCTGAGGTGGCGCTACTGCTCCACTGTGACTCTGCGCTACCCCAGCTCTTGTGGGAGATGCTGAGCTAGTGGCATTGGTTGGTCTATTCAGCGCCTCAGAACTCGATGGACCTCCAATTGATGCGGATCTGGACGGCAAGTCGCTAGTAGCGGAGTTTTCGGCGTCTAGCTTCGAGCCATCAGCGGCTCTCTGTTGTGCCACTCCGCCCTCGTGGGGTGCGCGAGCAGAGCTCTGTGGCACAGCGTCTCGCGGGGCATGAACGCCGCTTGAGCTGCGCGGGGTGGTGCTGCCCGATGCTGCGGGAGAGGAGAGAAGGTGTGAAAGGTCGATGGAATGCAGTGGACGCTTGGAAGAGGCCGCCAGGGATGAAGCGGCTGCGGCGGTGGGCGCTGTCGGTGAAGGTGCTCGGGCTAGCGGGTGCGTGATGGTTGCCGTGCGCGAAGAGGGAGAGAGAGGTGGAGAAGCGGCGCTACTTGATCCGCCTCCATGTGCTCTGAATACTGAAGCGCCTTCCGATGCTTCCATCTTTCCCTCCGACGACATGCTTGCTGCCTGACCTTCGGATGGCTTGTGACGTGCGCAGCCCCGTTCGATCTCGATAGGCTGCTGACTGACCAGTGTTGATGTATTGTTCCGTACGAGCCTATACGCCTTTGCCTGCCGAATGCAAAGCTAGTCACCCTCGCAAGATGCGCAGCACCTCGAGCTTTCCACAAATGTGCTTTGCGACTGGATGCGTAATCAAGAATGTAATGGTGGTTGACGTGGAGGAGACATGGCTCGAGGCACGAGGAGCCGCATGATGGGTGCCGTCACGCGATTGGGAAGATGAGGCGGT